TCGACGCTGGGCGACGAGGCCGCCCAGGCCGCGCCGCGCGACGCCCCGGCTCGTCGGCGCCGCCGAGCTGGGGAGCGCGATCTGCTCGGCGTCGCTCGGGCGTGTGCACGTCTCTCTCTCGGCGAGGGCCCTCGGGGGGGGCCTCCTGGAGGTCCTCGGGGCCCGGGGGGGGCCTCGAGGATCTCCAGGGGGCCCCCCCTCGAGGGCCCTCGCCGAGCAAGAGGAACGAAGAACAAGAAGACGAATCCTGGAGAGCCTAGAGCCAGGAAAGAAGAACAAGTCCTGGAGATCCTGGAGCCGAGAGAGAGAGAGAGAAAAGCACGCACAACCTCGAGCGCTGCCGGGGGGCGGGGCGCCCGAGAGACAAGGGCGGCCTCCGAAAGCTCGCCGCGGGGCGGGGACCCGGGCCCACCACGTGGGCTTCACGGGGCGCTCCGTCCACCCTGGCGTCGGCGAGAAGCATCTTGCGAGCACCGAAGAAGCAAAAAGAGACCAAAAAAAGCCTCCTCCTCCTCCTCCTCCTCCTCCTCCTCCTCCTCCTCCTCCTCCTCCTCCTCCTCCTCCTCCTCCTCCTCCTCCTCCTCCTCCTCCTCCTCCTCCCCCTCCTCCCACCGCGGCGCGTCGCCCGCGCGCTCGTCGCCGCGCAGGCCGACGCGCGGCGCGGCGCGGACCAGATTCGCATCGCTCGGCCCCTCAAGCAGCACGCTCGGGGGGAAGGGCGAGCGTCTTGGCAGCGGCATGGCAGGGACACGGGCCGGGAGCGCCGGCTGCAGACCCCCTCGGCAGCCGCGCGCACGCCGGACGACGCGTGCGCTTCGACGGCGGCGTGCCGCGGCGCTATATCTGCAAGGAAGGCTTCGCGCGCGACGGGGTGGTCCGGCGGCCTCGCCCAACCTAGGTGTCGGCATCGCGCACGTTGGTCGGAGCCTGCCGTTGTGGGCTCGGCGTCGCGAGAATTTCGCGCCTGGAGAGCGAGGTATGGTACGGTAGGTTTGCGTCGTGTCGACCAGCGGCGACCCCAGCGCGGACGTTCAAGGTTGAACGCCGCCGGCGACCCAGAATCGATCGATGTTGAACGATCGGACGTTGCGGCAGCGGCCGATCGTTCAAGGTTGAACGATCCCTGCGGTGTCAAAAACCAACGCCGGGGTCGGCACGACACGAACCTGCCGCAGCTTATTTTTTTATAGTATACTCCAGTGGTCGGGTGTTTCTCACACTACCGCTCCAGCGGCTCGAGTGCCAATCAAGTGGCCCACGTGATCTGCCAGGCCGCGCGCCTCACCAAGGACGCGCGCCAAGAGCGTCCCCGCTGCCGAACGCTGGGAACCGCCGGGGCATTATGCCCGCGCATCGCGACGGAAGACACCAGCGAGGCCCACGACACAATCGCGAATGCTCGGAGAGCAAGCTGTGACCACTGGCGACGGCGGGGTCGCACCCGCACCATGGGGGGTTCGACGCCCGCGACGACTACCACCTACTGTCGAAGCCATTCTGGTCCCTGGCCATTGGCGCCATCCACACGTCTTAGATCGATGACTCGGGAGCGACGCTGCGCGTGGAGGAATGTCGCAGTGAGGAACGAACGCCGCAGGGTCCTGAACGCCGATGATGCCAGATTCACAGGGGAGGCGGACGCCATCATCATCGCCAGCATCACGCGCGCCGAGGCACCAGGTCGACGCGCCGTGCTGGTCGACCTGGGCTTGGGCATCAATGTTGTTGGCAAGTGCAGATCGAGGGAGATGGTAGAGGGAAACAATTAGTGAACACCCCCCCTGCCCCCCAAACTCAAAGTTGGCACGCGGGGGGGAGACTGCGGTCGAGGTGCAACTCATCAGACCCACCGCCAACTTCGAACATTGGGGGGAGGGGGAGGCGTTCACAGATGAATGTGGCGCGAGTGTTCGCTAATGTTTTCCGAGGCCTGGATTGAGGGAGACGGTGGCCGAGGCCGAAGCGCAGGGGCCCGCCGCTGACGCCAAAAAGCACACCCACTGGACGTCACTTCAGCGGCGCGGGCACGGGGTCAGCCGCAGTCCTCGCCGACGCGGCTGGCGGCTGGCGGCTGGCGCGCCACCAGGGTGAAGGAGTCTCGGAAGAGACTCGCCCGCTTAGTAGGAACTCGCTGAAACCTCCAGGGGGACCAAGAGCATGCTCTGCTCCATGCTGCAGCCCAGATCTGCATCGCAAGTCGGTGCCTGCATTCGGAGATGGACGGATCCGTCCATGGGCTTCAGCGCTTGGAGCACAGCGCAGGCAAGCGCGACGGCCGCACCTTGGATGCCTTGCGAAACACCGCGAGACAAATCGGATTACAGACAACCCGCGCCTTACTATCATGTGGTCGAGCTCATGCTGATCCACCCACTGTGGAGCACGTCGATTATGTCGCAATCGCGCCACTAGGCAATCACATCGACAACTACGCGCAGAAGTATGAAGATGTATTGCGAAGGCCTTACGGCCAGTGCCGCCGACCCTGAAGACGACGAAGATGAAAACGAGCGGGGGTAGGAGGCGGATGAGTAGGAGGAGGACTGGGGGGGAAGAGGAAGGATGGAGGAGGAGGGAGGAGGAGGAGGAGGAGGAGGAGGAGGAGGAGGAGGAAGAGGAGGCGTTGTGGCATTCTGATGTCTTTTGGAAACAGCTTTTCATGGTTTCGGGGGCGCTCGAGGGGGACATGTATCTGGGCGGCGTCCTTTGGCCGTCTGGGGGCCCCCTTTTGGCCGTCCTTTGGCGTTCTTGGGCTGTCTTGTGGGGCTTGGGCCGTCTAGGGGCGCTCTTGCGGATCCGTCGTGGCGACCCCCCCCTCCTCCAGCGCATCTACAGAGGGCCCCTCTGTAAAAGCCGCAAACGGGGGATGGTATTCTGACCGTGGACCCCCCCACCTGGACCACCCCCCGCGACCCTCCCCCCCCGGCGGGGAAGGGATCAAAAAGAAGGAGCTTCCCCTCGACTCAATGACAACGTTGTTACTTCCGGGTTGCTTCATTTCGCTTTGGCTGGCGCGCTTGAGGACGAGGGCGCCGGGACAGAAGGGGGGGGGGGGGAGCGGCGACGGACCCAGAAAAGAAGACGACGAGTACGTGCGTACGAGGACAACAGCCACGACGAACAACCCATTTCACGCTCCGACAGGGTCGGCGGATTCGGAGAGCGCAGGCCCACACAGCGACACCTGCATATTAATTGTGCGGTCAGATCACCAAGGATTCACACGCTCACGCTGTTTGTTCTCGAGGAGTATGTCAAGCAATTACGCGCCATCATCCGCTCCACTGCTTCCCCGAGCGCGCAGGATCACCCGCAGAGCTTGTATTGACATACAGAGAGCGGCCTGAATAAGGAACACTTACTAGTCAAAAGGGGCTCGGTCGTTCCTTAGTTTCGCATGCTTTATGTATCGTTCCCTATGCGTTATTCCTTGGAAATAAGGGGCTTCGTTCCTTATTTATCGTTCCTTAGGTCAGGCCGATGACTGTAGTTGGTCGCCGCCATGTTCAGCAGCCCCTCAGGCGCACTGGCTCACGCGGCCATCGATCCCCCGAGGTTGGATCATGGCTGCCGTCGCAGGGCTGTAGCGAAACCAGTGACCTAAGGGCATCGACGGCCGACGCCTCAACTCGATCGTCCGTGAGCTACAGCAGACCCGGTTTATATACACTATACCAAGCTGTAGTACGCTTTGGTACTCTTGGCACCATGCTGTCAGGACACCGAAGGCTTTGCAGCATGGAGGTGGAAAGAACCACGGGATACGGGCATCCGCGGCATCGGTTCTCTCGGGCGAGGCGCAGCTCGCACTTGCAACCGTGCCGCGAACTTGGTGGAGTCCACGCGAAATCTCACCACTTGCAGGTCCGAAGCAGTTACTTCGCAGACGCACTTGCAGCCGCCCATGGAGTGAATAGTATCTACATATATATATATACACACCATCGCCAGCATCTCCAATGAGCTGAAATCCAGCACCCTGAGTCCGTCCCATCTGATGGATCTGCGCGAATGCGGGGGCATCAGTATCAAGACCACCCTCGCCATCGATGCAGAACCCGTATTCAATTCGCTCACCAGTAGGGACCTCCAGGCACCGTCAGAAGTCACCTGTCGGACATGAACGCTGGCTTCGGAAATCGATGGAACGATGCGCAATCTTGAATATCAATGGGTGCGACAGCCGCGACATGACGACATGACCATTGATGGCCACGCCAACCGTTCAAACTATTGCCAGCTACTACACACGGTGCTGTCAAGGTTAAACATGTAGTAAACAAGTTTCGGTGTGACGTTTGCGAAGCACAGATGCAAGTTCGAAGTCAAGCCTGCGCACCTCGTCGAGCTTTTTCAACAAAGGAACGCAGTGAACGAAAGGTGCGGCAATTCCTGTCGACCTGGCGGAATCATTACAAGGAGGTGCATCAATATTTATCAATATTTGACACTGGCGCGCGGGCGCTGGCAGCTGGCTGGTGTCCCGCGCGTCTGCGCTTCTCTTCTGGTGGTACCTCTGGCGACGTTGGCACCAGATTGCCTCACGGCTGGTGCTCTTGGACAGGGTGGCACCAGTCGTTGCGTTATCTGGTTCTTTCCGCACTAGTGAGAAGGAAAGCAGACGACCACGCACCTCATCCGATGCGTGACAGGTGCGGCTCGCGCGCGCCAGCGGTTCTGCAATGGCGTCCGTTACTTGCCTCGTACCCTTGCTCCGTTGCGCTGTTTTTGCTGCTTGCAGTTGGGCCAGATAGAAGGCGTCTCCCCTCTTGTTGATCAAGGTGTGATATTGAGCACTTCTTCGCGGACGTAGTTCGAGTCGTCCCATGCCCGCGGCCGCTTTTTCTAATGCGTGTCGTGTCCTCACGTGCAGAGCGAACGCACGGCTTATGCACTCCATCGGGAGTAAAAAGGATCACGTCTTCTTCGCATACCGACACGACACACACACACATACCGTGTATACGAAGTGCATATGGTCTTCGACCCGCCCCACCCCCCATCCTCGCACCGTCTGCGCCCCAGTCTCCGTCTCCCTCTGCCTCCCCCCCCGTCCACCTCGACGCCGCTGTTCGCCGCTCCTCGCCGCCGCCGCCGCAGCTCGCTGTTGTTGCCGCTCGTCCCTCGTCGCCGCCGTCGCTCGCACCCCTGCTCGTGCTCGAAGGCCGCACCGGCACGGCAAACGCCTCGCGCGTTCCGCTGGCGCCTTCCGCCGCGCCCCGATGATTGCCGCAGCTGCCTTCCGGCTGCACGCCCCCGCGGGTACGAGGCCAACGGCTTGGCCGCTCCCCTCTGCCTGCCGGGGCGGGTCGCTGGCCTAAGGGGCTGCTGGCCGCGCGATGTTCGCGCGCCCGCCGCCATCGCCGATCGCACGGCCAACGGCTGGATCCTGCCCACTCATGGCTATTTCTTTGATAGTAAGTCGTATCCATTTCTCTCTCTCTCTCTCTCGTTCTCTCTCAATCTTCCTGCCTACATATATACATATATATACACGCACACACTGTTTGTTTTGTTCTCTCTCTTTCTCTCTCTTTCTCTCGTTCTGTCTGCCCGCCTGCCTGCCTGCCTGTTTGTCTGTCTGTCTGTCTGTCTGTCTGTCTGTCTGTCTGTCTGTCTGTCTGTCTGTCTGTCTGTCTGCTTCTCTCTTTCTCTTTTTTTTCTCTTTTTTTTTCTCTCTCTCTCTCTCTCTCTCTCTCTCTCTCTCTTTCTTATTCCTAAAAAGCGCCCCCACCCCTAACGAAGTTGGCCCTCCCCGGGCCTCCAGGCAACCCGCCAGACGACCCGGGAGAACCTCACGAGAACCTGAAGACGGCCCCAGACGGGTTCCAGGCGTTCCGGCGCGCTCCCGAAACGACCCCAGCGAGCCCCAATACGGTCCACGACGACCCCCAAGAAGCCGTCATACCCCCAAAGATCGCTCCAAAACGTCCCTAGAGGCCTCCAAGAGCACTCCCAAGAAGGCCCCAAGAGGCAAAAATCATTGATTTGTTATGAGTTTTTGGTGAGCGTTGGGGTTCTCCTCTTCTCGGCTTCCCGACGCTACAAGACGGTGGTCGTCGAGGCGTTCGCGACCGCCTGGGAGGCTCCAACGTCGCCCCACAACCATCCGAAAGGGCTTCCAGGCAGTCCAAGAGAGCCCCAAAACGGCACAACAGGGGTCCAAGATGGCCCTAAGAGAGCCCCATGGCGGGCCAAGATGGCCCCAAGACCCCCTCCGAAGCATTCCAAAAATCGTGACCCAGTCGTTCAGGGAGACCGCGGTTGGAGGCAGGGTGGCCCGAGGAAGCCCCCGGAGGCCCCCAGAACACGCCCAGGTGGCCTCCAGAAGGCCTCAAGAAAGCCTGAAAACTTTTGTGAGGCCTCCAGAGGCTCTCCAAGGAGGAGCCTCCGCAAAAAAAGCTGAGGAGGATGGGGAGAATGCGCAGGGTATGGCGAGAATGAGGAGAAGAAGCATGGAGGAAGGATAACGAATAGCATAAGGCAACAAGGAGTTATCGCTAAATTGTCGGCTTGACCTTCCTGCCATTCCGCTTGCATACCAAGCTGCAAGGACCAAGGTGCAAGGCGTGAGACGACACTGCAGTCTTGTATGTGTATCTATACATACATACATATAAACACGTGTATCTATATGTATGTATACATATGAGTTTCGTGCCTTTCTCTCTCGCCCTCTTCCTCTCGTTCTCTCTCTCTCTCTCTCGCTCTCTCTCTCTCTCTCTCTCTCTATATATAATATATATGTATATATATATATATATATATATATATATATATATATATATATATATATAGCAGTCTCTCTCTCTCTCTCTCCCTCTAGCAGTGCCAGTACAATCAGCTCCGCTATGCACAGAAGCGTGCCCCTCCGACACAGGCTGCGTCGCGCCAGGCTGGCTCCGTGCGGGGCGCCCCGGGAGGGCCCCGCACGGCGGCCTGGGAGGGCCCAGGACGGCCCCAAGAGGTCCCGAAGAGACTCCCTAAGACGTGCCAAAAAACAGCCCCTTGGCATCGCTCGGACGTGTGCATTTTTTCTCGGCGAGAACCATCGAGGACCATCCTGGACCATCGAGCAAAAAAAACACGCACGAAACCGAAAAATGCACGGGAAATGGACGTCCGAGCGACGGCAAGGCCCACGATGGCTCCAAGATTTCCGCACGACAGACCAACAGGCTCCCACGACGGCCCAAGCGGGCCCGAAGCGGGCCACCAGGAGGAGAGTGACAGTGATGGTGCCAGGCCTCTGCACGATGTTGGCATGTTCGCCGTCCTGGTCTTGGGAGCCCCTGAGCTCTTCTGAGACGGTCCAACAGTTGTGGAAGTCGATGCATGGAGAGGAAGCGTGCTGGCAAATAGTTTCCAGATGTCTAAAAGATGCTTCAAACATGCTGTAAGTATGAAACAACATATCTGAAACATGTTTAGAACATGCTTTACACATTTAAAAAACACATCTCTAATTCAATGATACAGGCTTCGGAACAAATTAGCGAACACTCATGCCAAATTCATCTGTCAACGCCTCCCCCCCCCCAATGTTCAAAGTTGGTGGTGGGTCTGATGAGATGCACTTCGACCGCAGTGTTTTCCGCGCGTGCCAACATTGAGTCGGGGGGAGGGGGAGTGTTCAGTAATTGTTTCCCTCTACCGTAGGATTGTTAGAGTGTCCATTGTCACGGCATCCACAGTCCAAGAGGCCCCCCGCATCGCCCCGACTTGGCCGCAGAGGCGCCCAAGAGGACCCCAGGAGGGGGGCTCGGTGCCGAGCCGGAGCCACCTCGGTGGTGCTCGAACCGCTCGCCCGCCGAGGCGACCGCCCTCGCAGCAAATCCTCCTCCTCCCCCTCCCCCTCCGCCTCCTCCTCCTCCTCCTCCTCCTCCTCCTCCTGAGCTAGCAGCCCACGGCAAGCGTTGATTTCCGGCTCTGATCTGCATGCCACGGCCAGCGCTCATTCCGAACCGTGCTCCCGGCGAAGAGAAAAAAAAACCTAGGAGGGGCTCAAGATGGCCCGAGCGGGGCCCAATGTGGCCTGCGAGGGCCCCAAAGGGAAGATCGTTGCAGGCGTCGAGCGCCCCGGCGCGAGCGCCTGCCAGGGATGCGGCAGCGGCCTAGTGACTGGCAGTGCTAGTGATGGCTGCTCTTCGGGTCCTCGTATCGGGTCGTACGATTAAGCATTGTTCATTTCTAATTATTCGAAAGTTCTTTGATTTTTTGGGGGCCAAGATCCTTTCATTTCTAATTGTTCTATCCTGGGTCTCTTCCTGGCCACTAGGGGGCCAGGAACAATGAGAAACGAGCACAATTAGAAATGAGCACGATTAGACATGAACGACGTGTACGGGGGGGATAGGCAGAGCGGAGGAGGGGGGTACGACATGTGTTGCATGCAGCTGGTGTCGGCCCCGCCGCCGGGCGCTTCTCGGGGAGGTGACTCGGGCTTCCACTGCTGGAAGGGGGTAAGGGTGTCGAAGCCCTTTGCTTGCTTGCTGTTTGGGCGGCCTTGGCTTGGCTGCGTCTGCCAGCTTTCTGGGGCCACCTTGCGGGGCGCCCTGGGGCCCCCCCGAGCTCCCACGAGGCTCCAACAGGGTGTCTCGCCGCTGCGGGGCGCAATTCCTGAGGGGGCTATGTGCCGCCGATCCCCCGTGGCCCCAGGCATCGTGCAGTCCCGGGAGGCATTGCGGAGTCTGGGCAGGCCTCGGCGAGTTCTGCGTAGCTTCGGAGGCATTGGGCGGCCAGCGGAGTCTTGGGGAACCCCGGCGAGTCTGTGAGAGGCCCTGGGAGGCCGTCGCGGACTGCATGGCTCCAGGGAGCCATGAGGGAGCTCGCTGTCCTGAGGCCATCCTGTGGATACATTGAGAGGGACAGCTTCAGGGCCTTCTCGGCCAATCTCGGGGCCTCCCGGAGGCATTCTGGGGCCCCTGAGGCTGATTTCTGCTGAGCCCTCAGCAGCTGCAGGGGTGGAGGACAGCTCCTTGGCGAGGAGGAGGAGGAGGAGGAGGAGGAGGAGGAGGAGGAGGAGGAGGAGGAGGAGGAGGAGGAGGAGGAGGGGAGGGAGGAGGAGGAGGAGGAGGAGGAGGAGGAGGGGGAGGGGAGGAGGAGGAGAGAGGAGGAGGAGGAGGAGGAGGAGGAGGATAAGGAGGAGGAGGAGGAGGAGGAGGAGGAGGAGGAGGAGGAGGAGGAGGAGAGGAGGAGGAGGAGGGAGGAGGGGGAGGAGGAGGAGGAGGAGGAGGAGGAGGAGGAGGAGGAGGAGGAGGAGGAGGAGGAGGAGGAGGAGGAGGAGGAGGAGGAGGAGGAGGAGGGAGGAGGAGGGAGGAGGAGGAGGAGGAGAGGAGGAGGAGGAGGAGGGAGGAGGAGGAGGGAGGAGGAGGGGGAGGAGGAGGGCCCCGGCGGCGGGGGCGGGCCGCAGCAGAAATGGAACGCCTCGCGCGGCGTTGCCGCTCGGGGCCGTGCTCTGCGCGGGGCTCCGGCGGCGGGGGCGCACCAAGGCCGAAATATGGAACGGACGCATCGCCATCGGTCTTCTGGGCAGCGCTCTGCGTGGGGGCCCGGCGGCACGGGGCGCGCCAGAGGAGAGAACTGAAGAGCCAAAGCTCGTCATCGGCGCTCGGGGTCGTGCTCTGTGCATGGGCGGGGCGGCTCGATCCCTTACCAGGAGGAGGAGGAGGAGGAGGAGGAGGAGGAGGAGGAGGAGGAGGAGGAGGAGGAGGAGGAGGAGGAGGAGGAGGAGGAGGAGGAGGAGGAGGAGGAGGAGGAGGAGGAGAGGAGGAGGAGGAGGAGGAGGAGGAGGAGGAGGAGGAGGAGGAGGAGGAGGAGGAGGGGGAGGATGGAGGAGGAGGAGGAGGAGGAGGAGGAGGAGGAGGAGGAGGAGGAGGAGGAGGAGGAGGAGGGAGGAGGAGGAGGAGGAGGGGGGGGGAGAGGAGGAGGAGGAGGAGGAGGAGGAGGAGGAGGAGGAGGAGGAGGAGGAGGAGGAGGAGGAGGAGGAGGAGGAGGAGAAGGAGGAGGAGGAGGAGAGGAGGAGGATGAGGAGGAGGAGGAGGAGGAGGGAGGAGGAGGAGGAGGAGGAGGAGGAGGAGGAGGAGGAGGAGGGAGGAGGAGGAGGAGGAGGAGGAGGAGGAGGGAGGAGGAGGGATGAGGAGGAGGGAGGAGGAGGAGGGAGGAGGAGAGGGCGAGGAGGAGGGGCCCCTGGCGGCGGGGCGGGCCGCAGCAGAAATGGAACGCCTCGCGCGCGCGTTTGCCGTCGGGCCGTGCCCTGCGCGCGGGCTCCGGCGGCGTGGGCGCACCAAGGCAGAACAACTGGAACGG